CTAGATTTTCAGCTGAAAAGAGATTGGACTGGGCGACTGGTTATTCTTTTAGGAAAAATTCAGACTAATAATCCGATCTATTGACGGTCTTTTATTATTAAACCACGTATGTATTATTCTAAATTTCGAACTAATAGGCTAACCTTCCCCTAACACTCCTAGTGCATTGAAAACCGGCTAACCCAGTTAAACTAAAATCTGCGTAGGTAACAAACGGAAAAATGAATCCTCCTTAAGTCACGGTCACACCCATTCTCCATCCCAGGAGATTTACTCCCATCAGCACCATTCACAGCCTGGTATCAGATCTTATACATTACCGCACAAGTTGAAACAAAATGGTGATGATATTTGTCTCAAACTTTTTAGTATTGTTGCAGGTTAGTGTCCGTGTATAATTTTAGGGTGAAAATTAGGGTTCTTGTGGTTTTGTGAGTGAGTATTTCTTTTTGAAATACGGAGTATATGTTATATATCAAAGTTAGAGTAACACCTGAGCTGATATTTATATAACGAAGCTTGCATTGATATAGGCTGAGAAGAGTGAAATAAAAAAAAGTGTTGATGGGAGGCAGTTGCACATGGACGATGAAGTAAATTGACTAAATTCTAAGACAATATTTCTCAAACTCTTAGTATTGTTGTGGTTTAGCTGAATTTATAAGAGAAATGATATAGGTACCCCAAAATGGGGTACCCAAAACGGGGTACCACATTCTTACCCCGGCCTAATGTGTGGCCACAAATAGTGCAACACATTTAAGTGGTGCCTTACTTAAACGTGTTGCCCCATTTGTGGCCACACATTAGACCGAAGTAAGAATGTGATACTCCATTTTGGGGTACCTTTAGCATTTCTGAATTTATAATTAGTTGATTTTAGGGTTCAACTGGTTTAGGGTTCGTGTATAATTTTAGGGTGAAAATTAGGGTTGCTGTGGTTTAGCTGAATTTATTGGCTTTTCTGGTGTTAATTAATTTCATTTGTTAGGTTTGCTTGAATAAATAGTACTCCCTCCGTCCCCCTAAGTTTGGGACGGAGGGGTGTGGTGTGATTTTTAAGAAAAAGTGGAATTGTGTGGTTGGTATTGAATTGATAAAGTGTAAATAAAGTAAAAATGAATTCTAACCACTCAAATGTTACCAAATATGGTATGAGACAAACTTAGTGGGACGGACGAAAAAGGTAAAACGGGACAAACTTAAGGGGACGGAGGGAGTATTAATCTTTGACATGGTGACTTATTAGGTTATAGACGACACTCACGTTACTCTTCGCATATGGCATGGGGGTGTGCTTAAGAAGAACACCATGGGAGCACTAGAATACGTGGGAGGTGAATCTAGGGCATTTGATGTAGATGCAGGTGAACTTTGTTGGTTTTGGTTAGAAGGGTTGGCTAAGAAGTGCATGGAATACTCCACAATAGATGTCATTGACTACATGGTTCCCAAACTAAGCTATGAAGAAGGTTTAAAAAGGGCATATCATGATGATCAAGTGAGGGATTTGATCAGTATGGTGTTAAAGAACAGGTGCATAGATTGTTATGTCATTCATGGCATTGATGTTCCAGACTTAATTTAAGCAATTGAATATGGTGGCCAGTCTGGATTTGCATAAATGAAATCAGCCAATAGGAAGAAGAAACTTAGTCCAAGGGGGGAAGTAAAGTCAAAGTAGTAACATATGAGATTTCTTCCACTTTTCAAACTCAAGCTTCAGCAGACGTATGTAGTAAAGTCAAGGTAGTAACTTTGGACTCTATGTTGTGATGACAATTTTGCCCAACTTTACCTATAATGGAGCTAGATGTCGAAGAAGATGATCCACTGACGGACTTCATCGGGAATGTTTCTCTTTGTCCGAGCTTCGTCGTTGCGCTTGTTCTCTTTCATCCTTCTCTGGAATGAGTTCAGGGCTGCGTCTAACCTTCTTTGAACTAAGCTTGGACAAATTATAAGTCTAGTGAATGCACATGACTCTTTATCACCGGTTAAGACCTGACATTTAGGTTAATAAAGTGTTTAGGGAAGGTTGGCCAGTTAGTGAATGCACATAACCTTTTGCTGCACCATCTATACGATTTGGAGATCACGTAACTCAGCATGCTTCGATCATCTTCTTTTCTAATCCCACGAGGTTTTAGCTAAAATCAAGGTGGTAGTTTATAGAATCATGTTCAACCTATATCCTACCACTGTTTTTTATTTCTAGAATCTGCTTTTGGAGGTTTTTATCTTTTATTGGGCTGGTTGTAATCTTGATTTTTTTTGTTGATTTGGTATCTGATTATGGAAGGTTGTGGACTGTTTAGGCAATTTTGTTTTAGTTTTTTTTACTCCAAGGGGTCAGGGGGGAGGAGGGCTGGCCCCCTGGAGTAATCAGGGCTGAAACTCACTTCATTGAGTTTCAAACCCTTATTTGCCTAGCGGGTTTCGGACTCGAGACCTCCCACTAGGCACGGTAACCTCACAACCAGCTGGGCTGAAATGCTTGTTTGGCAATTTGTTTTAGTTATGGTAAGGGGCCTGACCCTTGCTGTTTGGTTTGTGGCTGCTATATGCGGGTAAGGCAATGTGTCTACCTTATGCACGCAATTTGCTGTTTTGTTTTTTCATTGAGTAGAGGTATGCCCCAGTGATTTTTGTATGTTACAATTTTGAACGAGTCAACATGTACATTTTACTCGAAAGTCTTACATTAATAATAATAACAAACAAAAATGTAAACAGCCTAACCATAAAAAGTAAACAGCAACAGAACAATAAAATAAAAATCTTGCTTCGTCTTCAACAAGACCACCATCCACGTTCCCGACCAACCGACCTGTTTCAGATAATCCGGCAAGCCTGGTGATCGAGACCCGCTGCCCCCCCCCCCCCCCCCCGTTTTTTTGGCTTGTCAAGAACCATGCTATCACTAACTGGGTCCCCTGTTTCCGATCCTCCCATATTCGATCTCCTGCATTTCTGACCCCTGGCAATTTCTCCGTGCTCATTAAGTCACCTTCTTTTGTCGTGCTATTGCCTGTGCTTGTCATGGACTCCCTTCAGCCCTGTCTTCCTGCTTCCACTCCACCCTGGGTATCATTCTTTTGCTGCACCCCTATACCTGTACTTGAGGAGCCTTCAACCAGCCACATGTTCTCCCCTATAGGACTAGTCTTCCCCTCCACCGGCTCTAAGATCCGCCACATAAGATTTTTCTAGTACCATATTATTCTCATATGTCAATGGTAAAACTTATCACAATGGCCAATAGCCCCACAAATAAAGCAAAAGTTAGGTAGCTTTTTATACTTGAAATCTACCGAGTGGCCAATCCCCCCTTTCTCGAGGGTTGTTCCTTTTTCCAACACCCATACTGACCCTAATACGCATATAGGCTTCACACTTTTTGTTAATTTGGCTTTCATCATAGCTAATAAACTTACCAATATAGTTACCAACCCTCCTCGCGATACCGAAGTTCATAAAATCATAAGGAACATTATGAACCTGCATCTAGAATTTAGCTCCATTAAGGCTAATTTTGAGCGGAATATCCTCTTACCTCACTTCCTTGAGAACCAACAAATTCCTTTCAAACAGCCACATATCACTCTCTAAAACACGTCTCATATCCACAACATGGTAAAAAGTGAAAAGATACCTTTTTGTCGCATATTTCTTTGACCGACACACCTTTGCTTGGTCCCACAAAGATGCCATAAGTTCTTTAAAGATCTGAAACTTTATCATCTTGTCAGAAGGGTGCGTACCACCGGGAAACTTGCCCGCCTCTCTTCCGCCGCGATTTCTCCAAAATCATCGTCATCGAAGTTCAACTCCTCATCATCTCTTCCAATAGCCATGTTTTTGTATTGATTGACAATATTTTCCATTGGAATCCTCCCTGCTTGATCGAGCCGAAACCCGCCACAACGCTCAAACAAACCCGCACTTTATCCGCTATCGTTCGCCGGCCAATACCGCCACCGGAGAGCCGCGAACCCTAGCATTTGTGTATAAAAATTATGCTAAAAAAGTTAATGTTTTGTGTCATGTTTATTCACTAAAACATCTTAAACCTTAAAAGTGTAACTATTTACATTATAAAGCGAGAAGTTCTATTCTTGTATGGTCCATAGTTCTTAGAATCAAATAAGAGTGAATGAACAAATACTTACTTTTTAATTAGTACCCCGTAGAATACTGTACTATGACTAAAACACCCGGTAGAATACTAGTACTTCATAATCATAGAGCATGTATATTTAGGCTCCGTTTGCAATCACATAAAATAAGTGATTGTGACTTTTTTTAAGAAAAAACACTTATTTTACCAAACACTATCAACTTTTACTTTATCGGTTTTCGTGTAGTATCTAGTTTTTACTTTTTCTATTACACAAAAAGCACTAATTATACCAAACACTACCAAATTTTACTACTAATTACTTTTTCCCAAAAAATGCTTTTATTTAAACAAAAGTGATTGTAAACATAGCCTTAATTTGTTAACAAAAAATGCAACACTGGAATAAATATATACGGAGGACTTTTAGTTACACACTTGAGAGTACTCTTCTCGTCAGGCCGGCCTGACGGGAACTTCCGTCCGGCCGAGCCCGTTTGGGCATCTTCCCGGTAGAATTTTTTGATGAAATTTTTTGAGCATGTTCCTCAACAAGTCTAGTTTGTCCATACCAAATTTCAGTTCAAAATTCGATCGGGAAGGCATTCAAATCATTTTTTGAAGTTGTCTGCGTCAAAATATACATATAAAACTGCAGTCAACTTCAAAAAATAATTTGAATGCCTTCCCGATCGAATTTTGAGCTGAAATTTGGTATGTACAAACTAGACTTGATGAGAAACATGCTCAAAAAATTTCATCAAAAAATTCTACCGGAAAGGTGCCCAAACGGGCTCGGCCAGACGGAGAAGCCCGTCAGGCCGGCCTGACATGAACTTTCCTCTACACTTGAGTATCAGAAAATTTACTTGTTCAGCTGCTTTTTTTTAAGCAAAAGCTGATGTGTTTGAAAAGAAAAACTCCATATCTATAAGCGGGGGCTTTGACCAGAAGGGGGCACGGTGGTCGGCCGCAGAGTTGAATTGGTTCGGTATAACTGAGCAAATAGGGAAATAGAGAGATAGATAGATTACGACTGCATCTCATCTACACGGTTCTCTGACTTGGGTCAGTCAAGAAAGAGTTCAACCCTGCAAGCATTTCGGCCAAACAAGAAAAACTCGATCAAGAAGGCAATTAAAAATTCAATCTTTGCATCCTTCATCTTTCACGGGTATCAGTCCACCTCCTTGAAACAAGCTAAAAACTCTACTCTTAGATCCAGCTGCTAATCTTATTTCTTCTCCATCTTGTCTTGGCAAACCATTCTCTAGTTGAGTTTTCAGTGTGGGTGAATTATGTGCATCTATAAAGCATTCTCCACATCTGCATATTTATGTGCTGTCTTGGTTGGTTGTATTTTAAGAGTTCTGGTCAAACTCAAGTAATGATATTGAAGTTTTTATCCCTCAGTCAGGCTTGCAAGAGCTCAGTTTTGTCTTCTTGCCTGAATATGATTGTGTTTCTAGTTTCACGTATGGCAATAAGTGGTATAATTTCTGAGCTATTCTTTTTTTGGGCCGTGGCAGTGCTTCATAATTATTACCATATGTGACACCTTCAATTTGGACTACTATTTATTTGAGCTTGATCTATTACTGCTTTTGGTAATTGTTATTTGTGCTGGTTTTTGAATTTCCATTATTGGGTGTGAAGTTCAATAGTTCATCATTCTTGATGATGGGGTTTTACTTATTTTTTATGTATCTGTTTTGCTTCTGTTTGTTTTCCAGTTTGACTTTACTTCACATCTGCTTAAAGTAAGGAAATATTGGTCAAGGATGTGGTCAAGTTCTGCCCAAAGACTTCAGGCTGGTTTACTAAAAATCGAGTCTTTTAATTGACTTCCACTAAGAGGGTCAGGTTTTGCAGCAAGAAGCTCATTTGGGATATGTACATACTTTGGTTCTTGATGGAAAGCTTGAGACAATATTAGGTTAAGCATATTTGCAAAAATATGGGTGGGCTGTGTTCTAGAGGTATAGTGACTGAAGGTGGCGGTCTTCCACAAGCCAACAATCACATAAATTTTGGTGCCGGGATGGTTTATCAGTCGTGTGGTTTGAGGCCCACACAAGTGAACGCCAATCCCACACAATCTCATGATGTGGGAAGCACTGATAAGCAGCCAAGTGATCATCAGTCTTTTTCTTTCCCGGAAATTGATGCTCATTCCAATAAGGCCTATATGGATGATATCAATGATGGGATTCCTCGCTTATCTAGAACCCTATCTCAGAAATCTCGATCCACAAGGTCTAGACAAGTGGCCATGGCAAAGGTATGTAGTCCATAATATGCATGCGGTTGGGTAAATATTTATTTTTCTCAAGACGATATCATTGTTACTTTAAAAATGTTATGTGTTTGGTGGTATTGAATATGGGAAAAATGTCATTAGACAGTTTACACGACATAATGAACTATAAAGTAATAATTCCCTTGTCAGAAAGAATCCTCCTCTATTCATCTAATCCTCATCAAGACTCAATAAATTAAACTAACTGGTAAAATGCATTCAGACTGTTTGAGAAAAAGTGCTTTTAAAATACTTTTTCATATAACTAATTTGACCAACAATTTAGCTAGCTGTGTACTGCTGAATGAAAGATAAACACTAGAAGTATAATGGCTTCAGTAAGGAATGGTACTATCACTATGAATATAGTTGAGTACTTAATGTAAGGATATGGAGCCAAAGACTCGCTATTTTTTGGCCTGATAATATGATGGAATAAAGCAAAATGGTTCACTAAACTGTCTGCGCTTCTTTGTTATGAAGTAGCAGTCAATCCATGCAACTTACGACGCGATTTTCACTATGGGTCATCGGGAAACAATCTCTCTGTGCTTTAGTACAGGCAGGCATAAGACTGCGTACATCCGACCCCCCCTTACCCCACCGAAGGTGGGATCCTTTGCGGCAATGAGTTAATGATGATGAATGATGATGACTTGAGTGTAAGGATTTTTACTTGGACTTTTTTCAGTCCCCAATCAGACCAGACTAAATTTGGACAGTTATAGAATATACAAAAACCAGACATCTATGAGACCGGTTCATATTAGACCAAAAAATTTCAATCCAATGAAAAACATCCTAATGAATTCGCTAATGTCACTTTTCCGGTGGACTTTCCGGTGACAAGGGTGGATGGAAACAAAAGAGAAAGATGACCTAGCGGTCGTCTTGTTGAGGCGCACCTTCCGATATTTATTTTTTAATTTTTCGGGTACTTTTGAAAATCAGAGTTACTATTCATCATCTTTCTTCGGTGATTTCTAACGGTGTCAGGCGCCAGGACCCTCTTGTGATAACGGAGTTCAACCACACAAACCACTTTAATAAAAAATGAAACACACGACCTTATCTGAAAACGGGTCCAACCACAGGTACCTTTTCCGTACTTTTCCCAAAATTATACTCGCCCATAAGGCCATAATCAAATTAACTTGCCACTTCTCATTTTTGTCTGTCTCAAAGTTATATTCCCATTTTCTTTTAAGGAAAGAATTGCGCGGTTGATGTTTTTTCTTTCCTTAAATAAATACAAATTTCAAAATTGATTTATTTTCTTAATCATCATCATTACTCCAGTTCCGCAAAGGCTCCCACCTACAGCGAGGTAAAAGGGAGTCGGATGTACGCAGTCTTACCCTTGTACTAACGCACAGAGAGACTGTTTCCGGATAACCCATAGTGAATTTCACGTCGAAAATTGCATAGACTGACTGCTACTTCATAACAAAGAAGCGCAGACAGTTTAGTGAACCATTTTGCTTTATTCCATCATATTATCAGGCCAAAAAATAGCGAGTCTTTGGCTCCATATCCTTACATCAAGTACTCAACTATATTCATAGTAGCATTCCTTACTGAAGCCATTATACTTCTAGTGTTTATCTTTCATTCAACAGTTTACTGAGGCATTTTGCTTTATTCCATCATATTTCCAAGCCAAAAAATAATGAGTTTTTGGCTCCACTGCGAATGATGGAAAATTTATTTTCTTAATAAGTATACTAAAATCAAATGAGAACCTAAATCGGATATAAAAAAAATTGGTCATGGGCCCCTATTATGGCGTTTGGGTATAATGATTGAGGCCCTAGTGTGCTATAGATTTGGAGCCCCCCGTGCAAATATGTAATTTCTCATTTTGAACATGGTCAGGGACAACCTTGATTTCTAGCCTATACCAACCAATATTCGCAGGACCTGCTGTTAATTATCATTGCTTGAATCAATTATATGCCTAATCTCAAACTAGAATCTTGGTTAATATTTTTTATGTTGCAAGTGATTATTTGTATCTAATTGACTAGTTGAAGCATGTTGCTGTATATTTTCTCAAATCTTAATAGCGTTCTAGGTAGAATTCACTGGCATCTTTATATGCTTGTTTATCATTTCCTCCGCACATGACAGGTTTCAGAAGTGAGTTCACTTTTGGGGAAAGCTGGTGTGAAGGCTTATGATGTGTTGGACACACTAGGTAGCAGCATGACAAACTTAAACTTGAGTGGCGGTTTTGCATCCAGCATGGCTACTAAAGGAAATAAAATATCAATTTTGGCGTTTGAAGTTGCAAATACTATTGTCAAGGGCGCAAAACTCATGAATTCCCTTTCAAGTGAGAACATTAAACATATGAAGGAGGTTGTGCTCCCATCAGAAGGGGTGCAACGTTTAATATCAAAGGATATGGATGAACTCTTTAGAATTGCTGCGGCAGACAAGAGGTGCCAATGGAAGTGATTATATGCAAAGTTTTTTATGCTATTTCATTTACAAGAAAGGAGAGGCTTATTTTTTTGTTAATGTGCAGAGATGAATTGAAAATATTTTCCGGAGAGGTGGTTCGTTTTGGAAATCGCTGTAAAGATCCTCAGTGGCACAATTTGGACCGTTATTTTGAGAAGTACTCGTGAGACTCTTGCCTCTAGTTTACCTGTGCAGTTTCTTCTTCAGGCAAGTATGTTTTAAATCATTTGTTGTGCCATAATTGGATTTAGGTTAGAATCAGAACTCACATTCAACGAACAACTTAAAGAAGAAGCAGAAGTAGAGATGCATCAGTTGATGACATTCGTTCAGCATACAGCTGTGAGTATTGTCTCCTTGATTTCAAGTACGTTTTGCCTTTTGTCCTTTTAAAAGAGTCTGTGACGGATAAACTTTGAGAGGTAGAGAAGTGGAACTGATTTGAAAGGTAGGGTGATAATTTGCTGAAAGACAAATGGCTAATGAAGAGAGTTGAGCTGATTGCTTGATTCCAGATTTGCACAAATTTAGGAGATATACATTCAGAGTAGCGGTGGGAGCTGAGGGATGTAATTTTTATTGGAATTTAAGCGGGGTGCTCAAAGCAACTGATAGAGTAATAGGCTGTATGACATATTCTATCCTAGCAGCAATTTCAGCATTTCTCTAGCAAACTAGTTTTTTAAAAATCACAGAAGTATGAATTGGATCCTGGGAGAGCTTGTGCGGGTGGGTTGCGTGATGTAACGATATAAAACAAAATTAAATATTCACATAATATAAAATCCGGCCACCTAGGTAGTTTACTCGCTACTCGGTAGTAACTCGGTCAAGGGCCTAGTAGTGAGTAGGACCGATTACTCGGGATTACTCGGTGATTACTCGGTCCTGTATTAATTAAATTTAATAATATAGTTGCCAGATATTTAGAAATATAATAGTCTTAAAATTGTTTTAAAAGCATATAAATGAATAAAAAGATACAAATCCTATTATCCTAATGATGGAGTAGCAAAAGTCATAAATATTCCAAGTTTTCAAAATTTAAATTTTATAAGTGATCAAAATTTAATGTCTATTGTTGAAATTGAATTTATAGGGAGTACGAGGGCATTAGTCCAACATAAAGCAGGATGTCTACTAGACTACTTATATTATTCAATAGTATTTATCAGTTTAGTCCAAGAAGTCATGCATTGGATACTATAAAGCAGGATGTCTACTAGACTACTTATCCAAGATGAAAGCTTACCGAAAACAAGAACCAAAACTATCTAAGAAGGCAAGAACATACACGACTAAGAGAGGGTGGAAGAAGAAGAAACCAGAAGTGAAGAGGTGAAGTTACAAGAGAAAGAAGAGTTACTAGCCGATGTCACAGTCTCAACTTGAAGGCATAGCGGATGTCGCGCGACTCCAAGAGAGTCGATGTTGCAGTCGGAGACTTGGAACTCCGTTAATTTTTTGTTTTAATTTAGGATTTCTAACTGTAGTGCTTCAATTTTTTTAAAAAAACTGAGTAATGCCGAGTACTCGCCGATTTCCGATGTTGACCGAGTAGCAAAACTCACCGAGTACTCGGCAAGTAACTTGGGAAATTAACTCGGACCGAGTTAAGTTGCTAATCGGCAAGGTAAGGACCCGAGTTGCGAGTACTCACCGAGTAGATAACCCAGTCGGCCACATCAGACTGAAAATGACATGATAAGATCAAACTAAACCATACTAGACTAAGGGAGTGTTTGCGATTGCTTCAACTTTAAAAAAGTGATTTTTTAAAGTGATTTTGGGAAAAGTGATTAATAGTAAAAGTTGGTAGTGTTTGAGAAAAAAGTGATTCTGAAAAAGTAAAAGTTGGTAGTGTTTGGCAAAATAAGTACTTTTTGTGTAATAGAAAAAGTGAGAAGCAGTTTAAAGCACCCTTCTACCTGCTTCCAGCTTTTAGCTTTTAAGTGATTAATTTAAGCAGAAGCTATCATTTGAAAACACTCTTTTCAACTTTTTTTAAGCCAAAAGCTGAAAAGCACTTTTTTTAATCAACCCCAAACACTCCTTAAGCCAGTCCCTGCCAGACTGGATCCAACTGGGTGGGGCCACGGAAAGACATAAGGAACACAATGATGAAATGTACAATGATTGTTTTAATTGAATTAATTTCCAAGTGATGTACATCAATTGAAGTACATCTGTTTTTAGTTTCCAACTTTTCATGTGGTATTCCCTTCATTAGAAGTAGTAAAGTACCATTCTTACAGCTTGCATGCAGTTGGATGAAGATTTCTTTTATTGTGATGAAAAGTCAATTTGGAATGTTAGAAATTGCAGGACACAAACCTAAAGAATACATATGAAGTAAACTATTAGCGCTTAGTTTGAACGCCATAGCTGGGATTACTAATTTAGAAGCTGTTAAGTACTACCTGCATCCCGAAATAAAATAGTCGTTTTCCTTTTCGAGTTGTCACAACTCCCAAAACTATCAAATTTCATTTTCTTAATGTGTGCCAAAAGTAAATGCAAAGTTTATTTGACTATGTATGCTGAATGAGTTGAGAATGAAGAAAAGTAGTGCAGAAACTCAGAAAGTAATGTGATGTCAGTATGACGCGTTTAAACTTTAAAAGCAGGTAATACACTTTACAGGTTTGAGCCGACTAAAAAATCAAATGAAGAGTAGTAGTGAGAAGCTTTTTTGAGTAAAAAACCCGCAGAAAAGATTGTTGAATATCTGTGCATACTATTGATTGCCGTAAAAGTGATACATCTTTCATTCCAAACAAGCCAGAAAAAGCAGCAAGAGCTGGATTTTATTAATCCATTCTTTAGATTCTTCTTTGTTTTAAAAATCCACACCTTCAGCACTTCAGATTTGTCTTCTGTTGTATAAATTTTGTGGAGAGTAAGTGTAGTAGTATTGATTTATGGGAAGACAATACTTTTTGCAAGGTTTGCTCTTGTCTCAGCTGATGAGCTTAGCTATTGATTATCTTATATCTAATATAGGTTTTCATTGTTATTTTTAGGAACTATATCATGAATTGCATGCCTTAGACAGATTCGAGCAGGATTATCGGCGTAAGGTTCAGGAAGATGATAATTTAAGTGCCGCTCAGAGAGGTATTTGTGCATGCTTTATCTTGTATGATAACTCTGTTGTTGGATGGGGACACCGGAAATTTGTTAGTATAGTTAGAGTCTATTTGGCAAGGGAAGGTTTGTCTGAATCGGTTGAAAACCTGAAATTGCTTAATTGGTTGAAACTCTCAGTATATTTGAATATACTTTCTTAGTTAATGAGAGCCATTCTGTCCATCCTCACCCAAGAGGGTGATGTTCACCCCCACCCCTCCTTGCCTGCCACATGGCATGTCAATTCTCTTTTTAAACTTTTTTCACTTGTGGTCCAATACAACAACAACAACAACATCCAAGCCTTAGTCCCAAATGATATTGGGGTCGGCTAATATGAATTGATACATGATAACACCACCAAAAGGAAAAGAAAGAAAATAAAGATAAAAAATAAGCTATTATGAAAAAGATAATATAAAACAGGATGAATATACTTAAAAATGATAAAATAAAAAGGATAAAAATAATGTTTATATATATAAGGATAAAAGAATAAAAAATAAGAAGAAAAAAGATGAGGGGAAATAATAATAATACGAGATCACTCCTCCACACGAATACTCGCCCTCCACTTTGCTATCTCCAAAGCCATACCCTCATCCAACCCAAGAAGAAGCATATCACTTCGGACTGCCTTAACCCACGTCTGTTTGGGTCTTCCTCTCCCTCTCTTCCCTGCCTCTTCTCCACACATCTCAACACGTCTGACAGGTACACCATTCGGTCTTCTACGCACATGACCAAACCACCGTAGGCGAGACTCCCGCATCTTGTCTTCAATAGGTGCTACTCCCACCCTTTGTCTGATTGTCTCATTTCTCACGTGGTCCTTCCTAGTATGCCCACACATCCAACGCAACATGCACATCTCTGCCACACTCATCTTTTGGATGTGACATTGTTTCACCGCCCAACACTCTACGCCATACAACAATGCATGCCTAATTGTTGTCCTATAAAATTTACCCTTCAATCTGGACGGCATACCTCTATCACATAGAAATCCCGACGCACTCTTCCACTTCATCCACCCTATTCTGATTATATGGGATACATCTCCTTCTAGCTCACCGCCCTTCTGAATTATGGAGCCCAAGTAACGGAACATATCACTGACCGGTATCTCCTTACCATCTAGAGTAATTCCACTATTACCACTGCTTCTACCTCCACCAAACTTGCACTCCATGTACTTTGTCTTGCTCCGACTTAGTCTGAAACCCTTGTTCTCCAATGTTTGTCGCCATACTTCCAACTTTGCTTTAAGACCTGATTGCGTCTCATCAATCAATACAATATCGTCGGGAAACATCATGCACCATAGTATTTCGTCTTGAATTGACTTCGTAAGTTCATCCATGACTATGGCAAATAAGAAATGGCTCAGAGCCGATCCTTGGTGCATTCCGATAGTAATAGGGAACTCCGCAATCCTCCCTACATTAGTACGAACACTTGTAGTACAATCCTCTTACATATCCATGATGATGCTGATATACTTGCATGATATGCCTTTTCTAGTTAAGGTCCACCAAAGAACTTCTCGAGGTACCCTATCATAAGCCTTTTCTAAGTCAATGAACACCAAATGCAGATCCTTGTGAGAGTCTCTATACTTCTCCATAAGCTACCGAAGAAGGTGAATGGCCTCAGTTGTTGAGCGACCAGGCATAAAACCGAATTGATTCTCTGAAATCTCCACAGTTCTTCGAAGTCTTTGCTCAATCACTCGCTCCCAAAGTTTCATGGTGTGACTCATAAGCTTAATCCCTCGATAGTTGACACATTCTTGTACATCACCTTTATTCTTGAATGAGGGGATAAGAGTACTCTTCCTCCAACTCGTTGGCATCTTGTTGTTTCTCTAAATCATGTTGAAGAAACTTGTTAACCACTCGACGCCTCTCTCTCCCAAACTTCTCCAAGCCTCGATCGGTATGTCATCTGGTCTCACTGCTTTCTTCCACCCCATCTTCCTCAGAGCCTCCTTAACTTCCGTTGTTTGAATTCTTCTCACAAAATCACGATTTACCATACAATCTGGTATGGTCAAATCACCGATATCTTGCGCTTTGTTCCCGTTGAAAAGTGTATCAAAGTAAGACCTCCTCCTCTCTTTTATCTCCCCGTCCTCCATTAGTACCCTTTGATCGACATCCTTCACACACTTAACTTCACTTGTGGTCCAATATTTACAAAAAATTTATCAAATTAAATAAATTTTTGTGATCTTTCGTATGGTACCAACATTGTATATGTAAAAATTTAAAAAAATCTGTTTTTTTTTTTTTTAAATTTTACATATGAAATATTGATGTTATGTGAAAGATCATAAAAAAATTGAATTTGACATATTTTTGTAAAAGTTGGATCATAAATGAAAAAGTTATAACAATTTTAAAAAAAGAATTGCCATGCCATGTGATATGCGAGGGGTGGGAGCGAACATCACCCCCATGGGTGATGGTGAACAAAAGCATTCTCAACTAGGTCTCAACTAGGGGTGGGCATATCTGTTTGGTTTAACCGAACCGTATCAAACCGAACTAAACCGAACCAAAACCAGACCATATGCAATTTGGTTCGAGTTTGGTAGTTATTTCTTCCAAACTGTATTAAACCGAACCAAACCGAAACCGATAAAACCGAACAAAACTGAACCGATCTAAAGAAATTCAATAAAACCTTCATATATTATTAAAAAATCACAAATCCAAACCGAACCGTACTGAACTAAACCGAAAAATAGTATGGTTTTTGTTTGGTAATAATTCCTCCAACCCGTTCCAAACCGAACCGAACCGAAACCAATAAAAACCGAACCGAAACCGATATGCTCATCCCTAGCCTCAACCATCCAATTTCACTTTCTTAACATATGTGCCAAACTGAAGTGTAGACTTCATATTGGATGGAGGGAGTATATCTTCTCATGTGCAGCTGAAAGAAAAATTGCATGTAAATTTTCTTCTTTTATCATGGGTCTTCTATGCTCATTGCAGTAGAGGAGAGTAATAATTTCGTATTTGATTGCTTCCTTTGGCAAACATGTTTTCTGAATGCATAATGCAGATCAGAATATTCACTGGATGGCGCCTTTAATTTTCTGTATTTATTTTCAATTTTCTTTATCCGGTCTGGTCTTTTTTGGGCTTTGGCATCTTATTGGTTTAGTGTCTTCCCTCTGATGATTTGCTGCTTTAAAACACGTTATAACAAAAAGGTTGATACCAACACGGTGCACCTATAGTTCTATTGGTCTGATTGAACGTGATTGTTATTTTTACTCCATAATTTCACAGTAATTATAGTCTTATGTGTTGACTATTATCTATTGTCTTTGTGTTCTACGGTTAGGAGATGGCCTTGCAATGTTAAGGGCCGAGCTAAAAAGTCAGAGGAAACATGTAAAAAGTTTGAAAAAAAAGTCTCTGTGGTCCAAAATCTTGGAAGAGGTAGCAAGTCAGTGCTTGTTTATATTCTTTTCTTTAATTAAAACTGGCAATTGTACTTTCACACACCAAGGACATGGGTTTTTAAAACCATTTGTGTTTAATATGGTATCATCATTCAAATCGTTTACAATATATAGATGTTTAACCTACTTCCATCTGATCAAAGATGATCTATACTCTCTTGATTACAGGTAATGGTGAAGCTGGTGGATATAGTGCATTTCCTTCATTTGGAGATTCATGCTAGCTCTGGAAGTGTTGGTAATTGATATTGCAAGCAATCTTTTATATCATTCTTCTGAAACTGGCATATTTTTATATAATCTTTTCACACGAGAGATGGCAAAATCTATGTACATCCAGCCTCCCCAGGCCTTACTTTTGAGTGGGTTATGATGGGTATGTTTGGTTTAGTTTGGCTTAGGTGGCAAGAGAGTAGCACTTGCTGCTGCTGTTCTACTTTATTTATGCCTGAGAGAACTTTCTATATATAATATCCCCTAATGAAGTGTCTATTTTTGTGTATGCTCTGCCCCTGAATAAAGTCCTCTTTATTTGGTAAAAGTCTCACTTTGCTACCCTCATATAGTATCCTCATCCACCACCATCAATTACTCACACGCATTACAAGGGAATTTTCGAAGTCAAATGAAATACGTTTTATGCATTCTAAACCATGCATTTCTAAGCAGGAACTTTAAGGATGGAGAGAGTACTAAAAAGGTCATTGAAGGTTTGATAGTTTGAGCTGAATGCTAAATATATGGAAAGTAATCTATTTTTCGTGACCAAATCAATGTGCCTACCTATTTCTGCACTTTTTTAAGGTGAAGATATGTGTGCTCTGTGCATATATCATCATCACTTGCCTAAATTTTAGAATCCTTTTATTTTGTTACATGTCTTCAGCACTTGGCAGTACCAAAGATAAAATAATGTTTGGGTGCATTGACTGCATTCCAGGTTATGGTTTGTAGGTAATGTAAGCAATTTTATTATGAAGACTCCCTCCTGGGCAATTAGATCATACTGGTGGTTGCATATAATTTTCTTTGAAGGTATTATATGTGATTGATTGTTGCCTTATGTTTAAATTTACACCATGCTTTGTCTTACATACTTGTAGATGAGGGCAGACCAATAAAAAACAATCATCTAAGGCTGGGATCTGCAGGTCTTGCATTGCATTATGCAAATCTTATTACTCAGATTGATACACTTGTAAGTATAATACGGAGTATCTGTTTGTGTTTTTTCTTCTGAAAAAAATCTATACTTATTCCATACTCTTAATTTCCTTTCATCATCCATAACCATTAGCTTCTTTGTTATGAAGCAGCAGTCAGTCCATGCAATTTTGGACGCGATTTTCACTATGGGTCATCTGGAAACAGTCTCTCTGTGCTTTAGTACAGGGGTAAGATTGCGTACATCCGACCCCCCTTACCCCACCGCAGGTGGGAGCCTTTGTGGCACTGGGGTAAATGAAAATGAAAATGATATCCATAACCATTAGCTGTTGTTTAGAACCTTTCAATAATACTTTTTGTATTATGTGGACTACAAATTTTTACAAATCTGTTAGAGAATTTTTTACAAATTACAATTTGAAGTACATACTATAATATAGTCATATGTGGTGAATCGCGAATGTTTTACAAATTACATTTGGAATTACATACTATAAATATAGTCATATGTGGTGACCTTGTGTGTTGTGTCTGGACACTGGATTTTAATTTGGGATTTGTCCAAGAAAATTGATATGGAAAAGTGAAATACGTAGTAGATACCAATGTTATTTCTGTATTGTTTGGCTGCTGCCAAGAATCTATTCTTCCATTTTTAACAATATCTTGCCATCATGCCATGTCAAAATAATCTAATATCATACTACGTATATATTTTGGTACACCAAAAGGGATAATCTCTTGCACTAAATGGGGGAGGGTTCCCTGTAATATGGAAGTAAAAATGTTCCTATTTGTGACCATTTGTGCTGACTTGTTGTGTGTGTGTGTGTGGGGGGGGGGGTCCCTGTCATGCTGGAATTAAAAAAAAACTGAAAGAAGTATTGATGGCAAGAGTTGGGGGTCTTCGATGACCATTTCATTTCCTACCTTTTGTTTCTGTTTTTGTACTTTAGTTTATTTTTTCAGTGGTCTTATAAATAAGGTCTTGTAAATAAAGTAGGGAACTTCAAATCTTGCAGTTGCAATTACTTAATTATAAAGTTGTGAATGCCATCAGGTAACCCGATCATGTTCAGTCCCACCTAATACAAGAGATGGTCTTTATCAGGGTCTGCCCCCAAGCATAAAGTCTGCTTTGCGATTCAAGTTACAATCCTTCCAACTTAAGGAGGAGGTACATCATCTTTTTTACGACCATGAAAAGTGCTCAAACTTCAAATTCATTTAAACTTTGAGTGAAAAATAACAATTATCCAAAATTTATATTGATAGAAAGTTGAAAAAGACTTACAGATGCAAATACTTCCTCCGTCCCAAATTTTTTCTTTCCACTTTGAAATGATACACTTATTAATTAAGTGGAAATGTATGGTTCTGGTTGAGGTAGGAAAAAAAGTGAAAGAGAGTTAACCACACAAACCATTCTTTAAAAGGAAATGAAAGGAAATTATTGGGACATACCAAAAAGGTCGTCGTCATCATCATCATCATCATCATCATCACCCCAGTGCCGCAAAGGCTCCCACCTACGGTTGGGTAAGGGGGGGGGGGGGTCAGATGTACGCAGTCTTACCTCTGTACTAAAGCACAAAGAGACTATTTCCGAATGACCCATAGTGAAAATCTTGTTTAAAATTGCATAGGCCGACTGTTACTTCATAACAAAGAAGCGCAGACAGTTTAGTGAGCCATTTTGCTTTATTCCATCATATTCCCAAGACAAAAAATAGTGAGTCTTGGCTCCATTGAAAATGATGGAAATGGGACATACCGAAAAGGTAAGTGGGAAAAATTATGGGATGGAGGCACTACCGAGGCAGTAATATAGCAAAAAAGGATACCCTTTCTATGAGTGACCTTCCCTCTTGTATATCATTAATAGGCCTAGTATTTCCGGCAATGGCAACATTTGATTTAAAAAAGAGCATTTATATCTTTACCCATTTAATGTGCTTTATTTTTTCTCCCCATTTTGGTTTTTCAATGTCAAATATGTATGACTAAAATCAAAGTATTGGTGAGGTTACCAATACCCTTAATGTGCAGTTACCATTTTGTTACTTCTGCATTTACATGAGTGACCAGTGATGTTTAGTTTTTACACTTGAACAGCCTGGGTGGTATTTTTGCTGTTGTGATCATTTAGTCTTTGTTTGCCCATTTAAAAATTTTTTAGGCAAAACTTATTTGCGTGTTTGTGTTTTTGTTTTTGTTTTTTTGTTTCTTTTTCTTTTTCTTTGGTTTGTGTGTCGTGTGTTCACAGGAAAGCACACATCATAGTAAAGTAGATACTAATTCTGATTCCTTACGAGTCACGACTGTTTATGGATGGTGATGATGCAGATGACTGTCCCTCAAATCAAAGCAGAAATGGAGAAAACATTGCAGTGGCTTGTACCTATGGCTACCAATACGACCAAGTAGAACCTTTCTCTATATACAATATCTTGCTTATTTCCTATGCACTTGGTGTTTCCAGGTATAAAGAACTGCTTTTATTTCCAGGGCACATCATGGCTTTGGATGGGTTGGAGAATGGGCCAATACGGGGTAACCTCATTATATGCATGGTTATTCAAACTGATTAGTTTAATTTTTGCCACAACATATTATTTTGTTATATTTATGTTAGGGCTGAGATGAATCGCAAATGTGGTGGGCAATCCGATCTACTTCGAATAGAGACATTATATCATGCAGAGAAGGAGAAGACTGAGAATTACATTCTTGAACTTGTGGTTTGGTTGCATCATCTAGTTAGTCACCAGTCAAAATCATCTCCTAATGGGGCAGGGGTTAGATCCCCAATCCGTTCCCCTAATCAGAAGGCAATCCAGCTGTCATGCTATAAACTGAACCACCCTCCGTCTCCGGCATTGTCAATTGAAGACCAAGAGATGCTTCGCGATGTAAGCAAGCGGAAGCTGACACCCGGTATCAGTAAGAGTCAGGAATTTGGCATTTCAAAAGCCACGGCCAGGTTGAGCAAGCACAACCAACGTCTTAGTAAGAGCAGTAGCCATTCGCCTACGACTACGACTGAGATGAAGAAAGATCATTCCTTCTCCATCAGGCGACCATTTTCTGTCCCTGTTATAAACTTTGATACTGATCGGGTCAAGGCACTAGACATCATTGATAGACTGGACACGTTCCACAACTAGTTTAAGCTTCAATAAGCTTTTGTGGGGAAGAGACCACCGTGGTGAAGAGACATTTCTGCTGCCCGGGTTTTGTACAACCCCACCCACCAGCATTGTGAAATGGCTTCAAGGTTAGTGATCCCCAGCATTGTTTTTTGGTTGCAGGCTTAGGTCACTCGACGAGTAGAAGAAACAAGTGCTGCTGTTATATTCCTATTTCTTGAGTTCTTTCCCCCCATAGGGTGTTGTTGTAGGGTGAAGATATGCACTTCTCAAATTACTCTCTTACATGTATAGAACGAGAAATCTTTCCCCTTTGATGTCCTGAAGAAGTTAATTCATCATTTTAAACAGATTTTAGTTATGCAAAAGTGCACCTCATTTAGGAGTAACCTAAAAGCTCACATGTTAGCCTGTAATTTATATATGTAGTTTATATTTGCTTACGTTGTGTACTTTATTTGTTATGTTTTTAACTTTTTACAATGCCTGCTTAAAAAGTACTTTCAAGAAGAGAAGTTATGTACTATCTCAAATATTTGTTTTATATCATATTTTGCTCTATGCATGAGATATAAATTATTTATAGTTCACCTATTTAGATAAGCTTACGAGTAATATGTTTTACAAATTCAATGTTGATCTTATAATTGTACGAAGGGAGCCTTGACACTTCGGTTAGGGTGTTGCTCATGTGTTTAAGTCTTGGGATTTGGGAACGATCTTTTGTTAAAATGACAAAAGAAGGCTTGCCCTGTATATAGGGATGGACTGGTGCCGGGCCAAACCCGGTCCTGATGGATTTTTTTCCTCCAAAAATTGGGCCCAGTACTGACCCGGTTTCTACCAATACCAGGCCCTGGTCAAGCCCAAACAATGTTGGGCCGTGCTGGGGCTAAACCCGCTTAATTAAATTTTTTTTTTTTTTAAAATTGCCTTTTGGCACAGGCATTGTCTCGGACCCAGCCCAAAAATTAAAGCTTGAGCCTGCCTCTTATACTCATTGTTCCCTAAAAATTGGGCTGGGCCTAAACAGCACCGGGCCGGGCAGGTCCGGGTCGAGCTGCCCGTACCCAATCCATCTCTACCTGTATACTTGTGAAAGACTTTTTTAGACTCTTTCACTTGGCTACCCATTATGTTCCTTTTTTCTTGAACTTAATGAACCATGGGAAATGACCCTTAAAAGAAATGAAATATAGTTTTGATCAGTAAGAGTATCTTTTGAGTGGTAATCATATTGCATAAATTAAAAAATAAAAGAAATGAAATATAGTTTTGATCAGTAAGAGTATCTTTTGAGTGGTAATCATATTGCATAAATTAAAAAACGTGTTAAAATTTAGCATATAAGCTTTCATGTTAATTTTTTCAAAAAAAAAAAAACTTTGTACTATCTTGATTAGTCAATATTTTAACATGTATTTTATGCTTTTTGAAATTGCTTTTTGTACAATTTCTATAGTTAAAATGAGTCACACAATGCTAATTTAACTCAAATTATAGTTTATCAGGTTTTCTTATGTATTTGGTATTTTTAATGTGAAAATACAGAAATTAGACCGACACTGGCATTGGAGACTTTGTTAGATGATTCAAGATACTTCGGGGTAGGGGTGGATTCGGGTCGGGCCACCCGGCCCGCTACTGTGCGGGATCGGAACCGGCCTGGTTCTCAGGTCCGGGCTATTTTGTTTTTCATTCATTTTTTGGGGTTCCACCCGGGTTGGGCTTGATGGTTAGGAGGGGTTTTGGGGGGGGGGGGGGGTAGGAAAGCAAAAACAAAATACCCAAACCGGAGGCCCGGCCCGGACCCGGTGGCTACCCGAGCCGGTCCCGGGTCCACCAATCCTGAACCGCCGGCCCGCCCGGGCCTAGGCCCGACCTGGACCCGGCCCGGCTCGAGTCCACGCCTGCTTCGGGGGTTATTCGACCCTGACACCTTCAAACACCTATAAATGCATCCTTTTCATTCTCATTTGGAAATCCCTTCTTCCATATACTTATGTTCAGTTTAGAACAATATTTCTTTTCTATTTTCTAACATGTTTAGTTTTCAAATGAGGAGCAAAACTTCTTATTCTTGATTTTGCTCTTGAAACTTGTTGAATGTTGAAGTTGTGAGTTATTTACTTAAACTTCTTTCCCTGAATATTAATTCTTGCGTTAGCCTATCTCTATATTCTTGAGTTACTGGGACAAATTACAATCCAAGTAAAAACGTCCTAAGAATGAAATGACTTTTAAAAGTAATAAACTGAAATTATGAATTAATACAAACCAGTTTGATAAAAATTGAAATTAGTTAAAAAATTTGAAATTGTTGAAATTTATAAAATGCTAGTTTAAGTCATTGGATTGGCTGAATCTACTGAATTGTGCAAAAAACCCCTTCGTGTCACTTTACCTGTCTCATTTGCTTTTTCACGTAGTTTAAGATAATTATTGTATACTTTATAAAAAGCAAGAGGTTTTTATATAGCAACCTATATTGACTATTAAGAGCAATTGTTTGATGTTTCTGAGTTGACTGGATTGTAAGGAGCAGATTTTTGTTGTTGAATGAGCTGGTGTGTGTTTACTAGCTAGGCACAAGAGCAGTTACTTGGAATAACGAGTTTTGTACTGCACAGAAGAACTGCCACTTCAAGTGGCCGCTTTCCTTAACTGGGATTAACTTCTGCAGTATTTTGGGAATTAATTATTTAAATAACATTATTACGGGAAAAAACTCAATGACTAATGAATCATTTTCTGGGACATTTGACCAATACGAAGTACGAAGTATTTCATTGTTGGCTAAAAGGTCAAATAGGTACATGAACTAACTTAAAGTGTTCAATTAGCCCCTTATATAGGAGGTTCTGCCCGACCGTCATCAATTGAGGCGGTTCCCAGTATAATTTTTTGATGAATTTTTTTGAGAATCTTCTTCATTAAGTCTAGTTTGCCCATACCAAATTTTAGCTAAAAATTCAACCAGGAAGGCAGTCAAATGATTTTTTGAATATAACTACGCATTTAAACAGCGCGGTATATTTAGGAAAATCATTTCACCCTTTAGCCTTCTTTGTTTGACAAAGAATTCAATTCGAACACTCAAGCCAACCCAATTGATTGCCTATCTTTGGGCGAGTTTGATTAGTTCTGTACCAACCACGTCTCCTACACTATATAGAATCTGCTCTGCCACTGTATATTCTCTATAGACTATACTACTCTCTTTAGTAGTATCAAAGTTCGACTAAATAAGATCAGAAATGGAGGTAGGCTCCATTACCAACGGCGAACACAAGTCCTCCTTGCAAGTGGACAAAGATTCCCCGCCGCCGGCAGCGGAGGCGGCGCCGATATGGAAGATGGTACTGGTGGCGTCCATTGCCACCGGCCTCCAGTTCGGGTGGGCCCTACAGTTCTCCCTCCTCACCCCATACGTCCAGCTCCTCGGAGTGCCCCACAAGTTCGCCTCCTTCATGTGGCTCTGCGGCCCCATCTCCGGCATCATCGTACAGCCGCTCGCCGGCCACTACAGCGACAACTGTACTAACCGCTTCGGCCGCCGTCGACCCTTTATTGCTTCTGGCGCCGTGCTGGTTATTCTCGCCGTCTTCCTCATCGGCTTCGCTGCTGACATGGGCCACGCCGCCGGCGACCGCCTTGGGAAAACCACCAAGCCCCGCGCCATAACGGTTTTTGCCGTCGGTTTTTGGACGCTCGATGTGGCTAATAACACGTTACAGGTACGCCGCAACAGTTTTTACGTGTCCGTATTTATAGGAAATCATTTTGGAAAATCGGGTTTCAGCAAAAAAATACTCCGTATGACAATTTGTACGCTTCGTTTGGATGAAACCGTTCAAATGAAAATGGTGCAAACATAAGAGTTTTGGGCAACATTGTGAAAAATGACTTTTTGTACTAATTTTTATGACCAAATAACTACGTTATCAAACATTGTGTCCGCCAATTTATTTTGCTAGTTAAACATGCTGATTGAATCCGCTATGGACATTGTCCACTAAATGCCAAACATGGTCTGCATCTATTTTGTTTTTGCAAAAAGTTGGATCCCAAATGAATGTTTTATGCCTCAATGAACATACTCCGTATGATCTATTGGAAATTGTGAATGAGGATAACTCAATTAAATTAAATCCTCCGTATATGCTAGACCAATGCCCATGACGCACACAAAAGGAGAAAAGCTAATTAAAATAATTGTGTTCAATAAATTCAATCAAAAGATATCTTCAAATTAAATATAACTTATTTTATTTGCTTTGGTTGTTATTACATACTCGTAATTTATGTTGCAACATTAAAAGTTTAATACTTTCTCTTTTCTTTTTTAATCGCAACATTAAATGTTTAATTAGTCCTTCCTCTTTTCAATTCTAGTTACAAGGAAATAGAAATGGAAATACATCACTTTTTCTGGGCAACCTAGGAAAATAAAAAGGGAAAATAACTAGGTTTTGACAAGAAAGTTATGATCGGGGAAATTTCTTAAAGAAATTCAAAATATGAACTGAGTGTTGTGTTTTCTTTTAAATATGTGTAAATTACTGACGTATTAAAGTCATATCGTCCTACTTTGATATTATAGAAAAAATCAATATGATAATGTTACTGCCATGATTTACAGTATTTCGTACTATATCTAGTTATTTTTGAAGAGAAAGGGATTAATCATTGTTCAATACATGAGATGAAATTAACCTAGGAGGAGAACCACTCCTACAGATACAATCAGAAAAAGAACACACAACTTGAGCTAATTCATGAACCGCCTTGTTCGATGATCGTTTAACATGACAGAGAAAGAAATATCACTAAAATTCAATTTTATCTCTCGAATGTCACTAGCAATGATCCCTGTAGCAGACACACTCGAGCCTCTTATGATTTCAGAACCTCTACTAAATCTAGTTGTATTTAACTAAAGTGAACATGTAGTATTCTTATTTTTAAATTTGACATAATTTCACATATTTAGGGGCAAATTCATTTATGATTAACTATTTTTAATGCGATAAGATGCGGTATCACGGTATGTACTATTTTATCACTTTGTTTCAAAATTCTTAATTTTCCACTTAATAGTTTGGTGCATGATAACCTTCCCCTTTCTCTCTGCTATTTTTAGAATGCAGTTCTATTTCTTAAAAAAAAAATCATTTCTATTTCTTGAAATCCGGCCAAGTAGCATAACAAAATCTGTAGCACGACCCAATTTAGCCAATTAGATAGTATTTGATGAAAATAGATCTAAAGTACAATTACTTTAATCAATTAATGGACCCAGTTATAAAAAGTCATCCCATTCGAAGGCAATCATGAATTGTTAGTTGGTACAAGGATGTGACTCGCTAGTTGGCACTCTCCTCTACCTCGATTGTTTGAGATTTTTTTTATTCGTGTCACTAAAATGATGTAGTAGCTCCGAGAGTCAACTTAAATCACTTTTAAATTCTTATTTTATACGTAGTATATCAAAACTTTATGAAAATTGAATTTTTTGCAGGCTTTGTAGTGGTTTTAATGTAGTTTTTGAATATGTAAATTTTATTTACTAAAAATAATCTCAATTCTCA